GCATTACTTGTGCGCTTGGAGCATCCTAGGATGATTTTCGCTGCTTTCATCTGGGCCACCTTGAGTTCTTTCACTACCTTCTTACTTCTTTCCCATACTTCTCCGGCGTACTCTAGCAGCGGTACGACTACGCTCTTCAAAACCGTCAATTTGATGCGTGTATCGAGGTGCCGGTTTGCGAGTATTGGGTGCAGCTTCCCTGCTCGTGCTTTGCCCTTTTCCGCTACCTTGGACATGTGTGCATTCCACGAGCAGTCTTTTGCGATCTCTACTCCGAGGTATGTGTACTGGTCCACTACTGCAATCTCCTCGATCCCCCACTTCCATCTATGTTCTACTGGTTCCTCCTTGTTCTCGTTGCATACCATGACGGCACTCTTCTTAACGTTGGCAGACAATCTCCACTTATCAGTAAACTTCTTCGCCGCGTCAATTTGCAGTTGCAGTCCCTCAGGGGTGTCCGACATACCGACAAAATCATCCGCAAACAGCATTCCTGAAACCGACGTTTCCGTGTCCTCTACTTTTACTCCCTTCCGGACTGCCTCTACGACTTTCAACAGATCGTTGATGAACACCTACAACAATGTTGGGGACAGCGTACAGCCTTGTGGGACCCCCTGCTCAATGTCGAAGAATTTAGACAGTTCTCCGTCTAGCATGACCGCGCTTCTCGTACACTCTGCCATTTTCTCCAGCACTCTCCACGTTTGCCCCTTGATCCCGTATTTGGACAGTTGTTTCCACAACCCATTTCTCCATACGGTGTCGTATGCCTTTTTCACGTCCAGGAAGAAGCAGTACGTCGGCTTTCCCGCCCTCTTTCTACCTTGGATGATTCTCCCTACCGTGAACACGTGGTCTACGCACCCCCTCTTCTTTCGGAAACCTGCCTGGCCCTCACTAATGCTATGTTCCTTCTCCATTTCTCCCACTATCCTATCTTTCAGCAGCTTACAGAACGCTTTTCCTACTGTGTTGAACAGTGTGATCCCCCTGTAGTTTCCTGAGTCAGTCTTGTCTCCTTTTCTAACATGTTCACAATCCACTCCTTCCCTCCATCTACTTGGCGTATACTCGTTTTTCCACACCCAATTGTACAGCAGTACCATCAGCTGGATCATCCCCTTCCCCCCAAACTTCATGAACTCGTTGACTATCCCATCCGCTCCTGCTGCTTTGTGGCACTGCAGCTTGTTCACACACGCCTCAACATCTGCCTTCGATGTCTCTTCTTTCTGGGCCCATGCGTCCACCTCGTTCTCAAACACTTGGTCAAAAGCATCATTCTTCGAGGGCACTCCAAGTCTCTTGTAAATAGTGTCCTGCTAGAACTTCCCTTTTTCCCTTCCCACTGCTGACTAATCCACCGTTCACACCTCGCAAAGTTGCGACCCCTGTATCCCCCCCTTGCGCGGTCTTTTTTACCATTCCACTAATCCCTTCCCACATCTGCTTGACGTTTCCCTCCAGGCCTCCGTTGGCCTTCTGCACTACTTCGTCCCAAATACACTTTTTCTTCTTTTTCACTAGTCCCTTCACCTGTTTTCTCTTGGCCCTGTACTTTTCCCAACTCTCCTCAGACGCCTCACTCAGGTACTGCTTGAAGACTTCTCTACGTTCCCCTATTTCTTCTTTCAGCTCGTCATCCCACCACTTAACCGATACCCCACATCGTACCACCTTCGTTCCCACTACTCTCTCTGCCGTTGCGTTCACGATGGACTCCCACCCTCCAATCACCCTGTCCCCTGCTGCTTGTACGTCTACCTGTTCGTCTTCAACGCTTATCAGCAGTTTCCTGAAGGGTTCTACACTACCAGCCAGTCCCTTCTGGAATTCATCCCGTGTCCC